TTGCCCTGTAGATAGGACTGATATATGTGTACATTATCTACACCCATAACAAAGCCCATTGTCACGTAACCGGAGTAACATATCCTGCACTGTGTTGTACTACAGTCAAATCTCTGTTAATATGACGTAATCGGGGCCGTGAAAATATCGTCATACAGAAAGTATCCTTGCTCCACGGAAATTCCCTTTTTTGGCGGCATTTTTAGTACCAATCTAGCAAAAAAATCCTAGGAAAGACGATATTCAGAGGTTGAAGAACGGTAATCGTGTTGTCGGTAAATGTATGGTAACGAAGACCGTTCTGGAAAAAAATATCGTCTTAAGGAGGATCGTCTTAACAGGGGTCTGACAGTGCAGTGCCTCTAGGTTCCAAAAGGTAAAACTTCCAACTGGGTTATTTTAGGGATTAGCCCTGTAGTCACAGTGGGACTAGCTCGTAATAGGTTAGTATGTCTCTTCTCCTTACCTCGCTCGCCATGAAGTATGGTCCAATCGTCTTCTTCCAACAATCGCTTAGAAAACACATTTTCAACGACACTTTTGGCTGCCTGACCTGCACAGTCCTCGAAACTTAACATCACTATCAATCCATCCTCAATTCTAGCAAACAATGTCTCCAAAAGTCTGCTTCAGAGACTAAAGTTCGCAAGCATCTAACTTGCGATCAAAGTATTGAAATAAGAGCATTAAGAAGACTTGGCTTGACATTATAACATATATCCGACGGACTTGGCATCACTATAAGGCAAGTGCGACTTGCGTGTGCTCGAGAGACTGAGAATCCTATATCCCGCAAAGGAATCTCACCCAAATTAAGCACGGAACATGTTGATGAGCTCGAGGCTTTCGTCGGGAATCTACTGAAAAGCGACAGATGTGCCATTTGGAATTAGCAATGGGGCTCTTCAGCCACTGGGGATGCAGTGAATGTTTAATTTCTAATGCACCCAAAAATAGAGGTTACGGTAGATGCATTGCTCGGAAGAAGCCTCCGTTATGTGTGGTTAACATGCACGAAAGATGTGTAGCGGTGATAAAGGAAAACCAAGGGTACACAAAGTATTAGCATAGAGCAGACTTAAAAAGCATGTAGAACGGCTTCATTTTAGATGCAAGCCATACTGAGGGCTTCGATGTATTCTTTTGCAATACAGAGCAATTATTTTTGAAATAGATGTGCATTTTTAGAGAATATCAATTGAATTTTTAATTTTGAATTTCATATCAGGACCATTGTACTTTTCCCATTGAGTTCAAAACCGTCCTCATAATTTAGACTTTCACGGAATGTCATTGAATAGTATCCCTTGCTTGCATAACTAGTCAAGTAACTAGACATGAGCCTGCATGAAGACCATACCAATTAAGGCAAAATGTACAGGGATCTTGCCCCAGTCAATTTGACAGTCTTACGTTTGCCATCCATAAGAGAATTTAACTGTCCAAGTTGGTATGAGTGCACCCATGTCCGAAGTACAAGTGCTAGTATGCGATGCAGGGATTAAATAGCCCCAGCACGACTTATTACGATCAGCGCTTATAACTGAGTGTTACTAAAGTCTCTTATGGATAGCAAAGGTAAGGCTGTCAAAATGCTCTTATTTCAATACTTTGATCGCAAGTTAGATGCTTGCGAACTTTAGTCTCTGAAGCAGACTTTTGGAGACATTGTTTGCTAGAATTGAGGATGGATTGATAGTGATGTTAAGTTTCGAGGACTGTGCAGGTCAGGCAGCCAAAAGTGTCGTTGAAAATGTGTTTTTCTAAGCGATTGTTGGAAGAAGACGATTGGACCATACTTCATGGCGAGCGAGGTAAGGAGAAGAGACATACTAACCTATTACGAGCTAGTCCCACTGTGACTACAGGGCTAATCCCTAAAATAACCCAGTTGGAAGTTTTACCTTTTCCAACCCAGAAGCACTGTACGTCACAATAGGGATAAGAATAGATCAGACAGGTATGAAGATCTGAACCTACTGATACGAAGAAAACACCATCCAGAACTAACTCTGCCTCGATGGGCAAATCACCGCCTCGTAGCCGCAAGGGCTGAGCATGGCGATTTTGCCACTTAATATAGACTATTTCAGCACCAGAATGAAGGAATGCTTTGCAAATGCAGACCAAAGAAACGGTCATGGTATTTTGCAGAGTATCGCCCAATCATCCAGAAACGGAGGACGGAAACGAAGGAACCACGTCCTATGATCAAGGATACGATAGGGCAAGAAAGATGGCAGATTTTCTGCCGGCAAAGACGAATTCTTCACCTTCCAGTGGTGTCGGTGTAATCGCTCAGTATGCCCTGCATATCTGGGATAGCCAAGAAGAATCGCATCCGAATCGAAGTCGAAAGCAACCTCAAACACATCTCCATTTGACAACTTCTCGACAATGCCTCTCCCATCATTATCATCTGAGTCCTCAACCCATCTCTAACCATGCATCATATCGCCTCAACGACCGATAAAGAAGTTGCTCCAATTGCATACAGAAGCTTGCCCCATTAATCTCCAGCTATCACTCACGACATATTTATGACGCTACGTATAGCCGCAAGGAGGAAATTAAGTCATAATATACAAAGTTGGGGTCTTGGCTTCTGGGGGACTGTTGCTCTAATGGGGTTGTACATCTTGAGGAAGGACAGGCGGCTGAGACGTGGAACGAGAGAGGGAACAGGTCTCTGAAGAGCATGCTTGGACCGATATTTTCGAGGGGACTTCAATATTGGAATGTTTGTGGGCGCCAAGACCGAGATTTCGGCTAATTAGCCAGGAGGGCTTCTCTTGTCAATGAGTTAACGGCACTCCCCAGCGCCCTGGACGGCACAAAAGAAGTTGAGCTAAGCTGCTACACAGTAATCACGCTCTGTCAAGACTTTTCTGAAATTTCAGCACGACCTTCGGGAAGGAGTTGGAAGGAGGCTAGAAAGGCAGAGTGTGAATTCTCCGAGGTATCCACAAGTCTGCAGCGCCCAGCTGGCCGGCCTCTTCGAACGCGTCAGAAGGGGCGGTATTTCTTCGGATATAGTCCTAATGTCGGCATTAGGACAGCTCCGCACCCAGTGGTTTTATGCGATTTTTCCCGGCTGCCACACACCCGCAAATGGCCATCGTTTCGTTGGCTGGAGATGGGGGATAATGAAGGGCAAAGGGCTCTTCTAAGTGTATGATCGAATGAGGACTTGTGAGGGGTGGTACTGTTTGAGGGGAGCTGTATGGAAGGCATGAGAGGGGATATATTACTGGTATAGGTATCCTTGGCATGTATGCAGAGAGGACCTGCATGTCCCAAATAGTCATAGACTCAGACAGGACAATAAAATGAATTAATAATAATTGAAAAGAAGAGCACTCATGCCTTGTATTTATTTTGCAAGTACCACTACGAAACTATCGCGGCTTTTTCCTCACCCCAAGTCAACCCTCATCCGTGAATATCCACCCAGGGAAACGTTTCAAAAACTCTGAGTTATCCAGACATGGCTCCATATAAAATATGGCCTTAGGCGTCTCCTTCCCAAGTGGAGTAGGAGTCAACACTACTCAGAGAAGACTGGACTATACCACCTTCCGTCGTTGGCTTTTTATATAGTGCTAGCTGTACTCCCGTAATCGAAGTCTTAGCACGTACAATGCTCTTTAATTTATAAAGCTCCAGGCTAAAATTCCAAATCTCATTCTTATCAAAATTTTAACCATCCTTTGCATCATCTCTTAAACTTTTCCTGATTATTTTCACGCCGATTCAGAAGTTCTGTCTTCCAGATTTGTGCGCCACGCTTGGATTCCTCCATCGGATACAATTAATGGCATGGGCGTGAATTTTGTGAGCAGTTGAAGCCAGAAAATAATGGATGCGTGGTGTGGTAATTGAAATAAGGATGTAATAAGTTGTACTTGTAAATTTGAGGAGGTTTTGTTGGAAGTAAATCTCTTTGATGAATTATGAAGTAGGTGGCGAGACTGTATAACTTGTGGGCTAACTTTTCTCATATGGTGGTAGCTGAGTGAACTTGTTTCTAAAAGATTGATTAACTCTCACGTCCGTAGAGTAAATCACAGACTGGTGTTCAATCTGTGTCCTCCATCATCCAGATTGTTCTGCCGCATCCCCTTGGTCGTGCATGGTGATCATCGTACCGATTATAAACTCGCTCGGATATTTTCTCCCTGGGCTCTGCCGGCTCTGTATATATCACGTGACGGTGATTTAAGGAAGAAGAAACGAGACCAGAAGGTGCAAGGTTCTGAAATATTCACAATAATAGATCACTAGCACATAATATGCACGTCCAGCAATAGACTCAGTCGATGGTAGTTTTGTCGACAAGCACAAAGTGCTTATATTTTTACAGAGGATTGGCTACGATTGAAGTTTTTGACATTCTATCGTCGTTTACCCTGGCAACAAAAACTTCCGTGGGACGAGCCCTCGCCTTATTCCTACACCCCGGCTGGTCACTCGTCTGCCGCTGCACTAGAACTCAAGATAAGCCAGTACCCTAGTGGGCTAGACTATCGACTTCATGCGCAAAGCAGCGTTGCACCATTCTAATCGAATAGTTTTACGGAACAGTTCAACATCTTCCAAACGATTTGGCTAACAGAAATTCCAATGAGAAGCAAAATCGCAGGCGCACTCTCGGTTGCGAAGTAAGAAGATTGCGTGCATTTTTCCCCGTCACCTTATCTCATACAAACCGTTCGGAGTTAAGAGAAGTCATTATACCCACAATTTTTCTGCATGTCGGTTATTTCTAGACTACCCATGTCAAATCAGGTGACCAACAACTCGCACAAAGCTTTGTGATACATGCCCCCTGCCTCGTTGCTTCACCGCTCCCTCCCGTTTGCGAAACTCCATAATATTCTAAAACACTAAATTCTTCTAGCCCTGAACTTCTCTCTCGCAAGGCGCATAGTGCATATCCATATCGCGACCGAAGCTCGGCCACCTGACGTCCCGTACTGCACGTTCCCGAGATAAAAAGGATGTCGGCCTCTCCTCCCAAGGACGACGTTGAACAAGCTGCGCAGTCGCCCGACGACCCTGATGCGCAAATGAATCAAGACCCACATTCCCTAGGTCTTGCCTACGAATTTGAGGTAAAGGGTATGTATCTATGCGTCTGTTTATCTCTACATCCTTCCAGCTCCGTACGACACTGACAAATCTTAAGAACAGGATCGCTGGCTTCCCATAGCAAACGGTAAGTCGCGGTTTCTCTGTACTCTATTCCTTGCGGGCGATATGTTTTGTGCAGGTTGGAACCTGCAGTAATGAGTATTGCTTATAATCCCGTGAAAATTTCATGCGAACTGTCATATTACCTACACAGCCTCCGTGCTAAGTGCAACGCTCAATTTATGAATGTACCACTGTGGTCGTACATCCTGCGATGTCATCAGTTTCTTGTTCGCAATCCCCTGAGCCGCAACGTTCATCCAAACCTCGAAAGCACGAACATCCAGATTCGCAAATCCATAACACTGCTCCAGTTGCCCGAATAATGAAGATGGCGCTTCCAGAGAATGCCAAGATTGCCAAAGAAGCAAAAGAATGCATGCAGGAATGCGTCAGCGAGTTCATTTCATTTATTACAAGTGAAGGTGTGTCACATTTTCGAAGAACCCCTACGTAACTATTCATCTAACTAGCCTAAGCTTCAGAGAAATGTCATCAAGAAAAGCGCAAGACTGTTAACGGAGAAGATATCCTATTCGCAATGACCTCGTTGGGTTTCGAGAATTATGCGGAGGCGCTCAAGATCTATTTATCTAAGTACAGAGAAGTGAGTGTAGCTTTTCTTTGAAATCCTTCGAGAAAGTCCCCAAACATCGTGCAGGCGAAATAGATAACTCAAATTCGAATCTGACACTTTTTAGACCCAGTCAACGAGGGGCGAAAACCGACCCGGAAGCCAAGGGTTTGGTTCGACGGCAGCTAGTGGGTCTGGAGGATCTGGGAATGCGACATCAGGTTTCCCAGGTTCAGAGGGAGCCAATAAACTTCTCGGTAGTGCCGAAAGACATGATGATTCTGAGCACGCTTCAGGGTATCCAATTCTCTACGGAAACCAATCAACCGCTCACAATGGCACTGCTGAGCGGGACAACTACTAATCAATATTCGAGCTAGTTTTTTGTCACGGGGCGTTTGGGGATTTCTTCCGCGGCGGTCTAACAAACTCTCCCAATTAGGGCGGTGTTCAAAATTGGACGATTAAATTGGGCGTGAATTCTGGTGTACTAAGAGGAATAAGGGATATCGCCATTAACTGATCAGAAGACACAGGGAGAAATGCCGAATAAATTTTGTAATGTTAATATACCTGTTTGCATGAAGGCGCACATTGGCAGGAAGGGAAATACATGGTTATCATAAAATATTTTGAGAAGCTGGGGACGGTGGGACATAATCCGCGGGCTATTGAGGTCGTTACCAATATTCTTCCGACGAACAGGGATCCACTATGGAAGATATGATATATCACATGACCCCGAGCCTTGGAGGCTGTGTGCCGCAGAAGCCCGTAGCCCCACCGATATTCTCGAGGATTACTCGATCATCTGCATGACAAGGTATTCGCAATTGCTTGATATGACATGATAAGCGTTATAAATGAGATAGAGAGAGAGGCATGTTCATTGTTATACATGAGTCTTAGACTTTCAAGCACATTGAGCTCCTCTCTGGCCCCGGCCACACCTTGTACAGTGCTCCTTGCCTCTCTTGTTACATATAAGATCATTGATATATTCCTCTTGATGAATAGCCATTCAGCCCAGTATTTAGCCGTTGAATTTAGCCACCTATTCCACGGATAAATCTACCCAAAGAAATAAAAATGGTAGCAATGGAAACTGCGTGTGCGGGAAAAAGTCTCAAAAAACCTGCAGGCCCAGCCAGGCGAGGCCTAGACACCGGGATCACATGAGGTGCGCATATTCATTTATTTCTCCCTTCTTTGTAACAGTCAAGGCCGACTTGATCCAATCAACCATCTCCGTATTGGGTGCTGGGCACGCTCCGGAAACTCATCGGATAGCTTTCCCTCTATGATCAAGGGTTGGTGATGAGAAGGGCTCCGACCCTACCATCTGATCTGATCGCGATTAACTTCGGAACGTCTTTACTCTGGCATCACGTCGCATCTAAACTATATACGTCTAAAAATATTGTAAACTGATACTTGCATTTTACTATCGTCAAGAAGAGCTCACATAATCCACACGGCTTGTCTCCTGACCAGGGTACTTGAGACGAAGCACGGCGTGTTCGCTTTCGGTCGTGACGATTCTCGTCGTTTGTGTCTACAGTTAAGCAATTGACGCATGCTTTTACTCTCTCGGCTATCCTGCGAAGCGGCATCTCCGGTTTATGCCTGCTCTGTATCTACGAACGGCATCTATAGTTAATTCAACAAATAGTCTCAGGAAGACCTCACTGGTAGAACACAGCCGACTCTCTGCGGGTGTTTCTAAACTGTAAACTTGAAAATTTTGAAGAATATTATATTATAAAATTAAACTACATGTATGACTACTTTAGGATAATCAATTGAAAGTGAGAGAAGCGGAAGATGAAGAGATAGGTCGGCTTCAAAGTTATCTGACCACAACAGTACGGATACTTTCGCAGTGATTCGAGTGTCTTTACCACTCAGTTAGCTCGCGGAAGTCGTGAAAGTGACTACTTCAATGTAAGCCCTTTTTTTGAGGAAGTGTGAAACGTCTTCTCTACTCTAATCGTCAGGCCGCTTCAACCAGCTTCTCTAGGATATACTACTCGAGACATAGGTTTCACCATTTGGTTGGCAGAAAGGGCCCACATTTTATTAATAGTCGTAGTCTGTGGAACGATGAGTAGTAAGATAACAAAAAAACAGTAGCTCGTCACAAGTACAGCCCCTGGCGTTAAGTGGTTTTTGTAGGCCAGATGCCCTTCGAGATAGCATGGCTTCACTCACCACTTTATTCTTTCGGTGCATTGCTTTTGGACCCAGACTAGATCTAGATTAACCATTTGGGGGGGTCAATTCTGCCTCTCACGGTTTATTTACATTTTCAAAGGATGATGATGATCAACCTTACTACGTAGTCTGATTCGAGCTTAAAGCTGACTAACTTTGACACGTCGGCTAAAAATTTCGCCCCTCTCGATGTTTGGTACTAGCAAGTCTAACATCAAAAATGACTAACTAATGCCACCTCTAATTCCTCGTTCTCCTAATCCTGTGTTCCAATAAAGGTTAAAATTAATCTCAATCATGGTTCCTAGAATGGATAGAGAACCTATATTCGCTGCCACGGCGACACCACCCAGATCTATTCTCCGGCACTCTAGTAAAGTTCGTAAGGTCGACGATGCAGGGCTTGACGATGGAACAACTATGGCTTCTGGGTACCATAAAAGGCGTAAGATAAAATTCAGTTCAGAAGCAAAGGACCAAGTACACGTAGAAATGCCTCATCCCTCTGCAAAAGCTCTGGGGATTATTAGAGGTGTAGTAAAAAAGACCATTGAATCTCACCTTCAAGGTGATAGTCATGAATATGAGTGTCTAGAGAGTTGCTTTCGCCCAAAGGAGATGGATCACGACGATGAGCGCGTTAAATTCACCGATATCAAGATTTATCTACTCGCCCTCACCAGTTACACATCTTTACTCGGCAAGAATTTTTCAACATTGATAAATGCTATCCTCAAAATCGATTGGATCGGAAGAGATGGAGTATTTGTCAAAGTCTATATCAACTTCTTAAGTAGCTTAGCCAGTGCTCAAGGCGCCTATGTCGGCTTGATCCTCGAAATGTTACTATCTTACTTCCAAGGATGTAAGACCCCCTGGATGTGCCATTTGGATATATCTAATCCAAAATTTAGTCCCCCCTCTCAGTGGAAGAGTTGAAGGGTGTCCCGAATATAATCAAGACCAACTTTTTTCTAGACTTCACGCGGCCCTCAAATATCTTGTACAACTAGTTCCATCTGCAAGCAGCGTTATACTGTCTCTAGTAGACAAAAAGTTTCCGTTCGCTGATGACAGTAAAAAGTTACTCATAAATTATGTCGAGAACCTTATTCAACTCACTAGCTACGCGCCAGAGCTAAAGCCTGACGTACTTGCTTTAATTACGGATAGACTTGTGAAGATTGACGTACAGATGCAGGTTGACTTGGATGATCTCGACGATGAAGTCGCAAGCTCTCTCGTGGACACTACACAGCAAAACTTATCTGGGGAGGAAGAGGATTTGTATTGCTCTGACAGCGATACTGATTCTGCGTCTGCTGATGAAGTCTCCGGAATGAGTTCAAAGCGACTAAAAAAAGTTCGCGACAACGTGGAAAAATTGGACACCATATTAGAACTGCTCTTCCAAGTTTATACCCCTTGTTTTTCAGATCCCAATAGCGCAGTTGCTGTCTCAACATTCGAAACCCTACTTGCTCATTTTGCAAATATTATATTACCTACATATCGCTCTCGGCACACACAATTTCTCTTGTTTCACTTTGCTCAAAAGTCGGAACATTTAGTTGACCAATTCGCGGGAACATGTGTGCAACTTGCATTTCAGACTGGTCGGCCAGCAATATTAAGACAGTCGGCTGCCGCCTACCTCGCCAGCTTCGTTGCACGAGGTGCAAATGTGCAGCCTCAGATCGTACAAACTGTGTTCGACCTTATAGGACGTAATCTAGATCATATTAGAGCTGAAAATGAGATATCTTGCCGTGGTCCGGATCTTCAGCGCTATGGCACCTTCTATGCCATGACTCAAGCACTTCTTTACATATTTTGTTTTAGATGGCGAGACCTTATAATTTTTGACGTCCTAGATGATGATGACCCCGTGTTATCTCCCGGTCAGGATTTCACTTGGATTCCAGGCATCAAAGAAATTTTAACTCGTACTATTTACTCTAAACTTAATCCACTGAAAGTTTGCTCTCCTTCTATCGTGGCAGAGTTTGCCAAGATCGCTCACCACCTAAAGTTCATCTACGTATATCCCTTACTGGAAACTAATAAACGTATTCGATTAGGACAATTCTCAGTCATCAACGTCAATGGAGCTCTTCGAGGCACGGGTAGTGATTCTAATGAAAAATGGCATCAGCTCGACGCTTACTTCCCCTTTGATCCTTATCAGCTCCCAATCAGCAAACGATGGATCGAGGGTGACTACGTGCAATGGAAAGGAATTCCAGGTCTAGATCAAGGACAAGATGATGACAGCGACGATAATATTTTGGATAATGAAAACAATGACGAGGATACTGCGACTGAAGATGAAAACTGATAAAAATTGGGATAGGATCACCATATTAGGTGTAAGGATCTTGCATTGGGATTGGAAAATAGAATTTTATAATCAGCGATGGGTCGTTAATCTCTAAGTTGTTGAGCGTATGCACTGGAGTTTTGATTGTTGCGAATGAAGGAAAAGTATTGTAGCGTGCAGATTTACTTAGGCTTGATTTAATGCATTATCATGAGCTGGCGCAAGTCTATCTACCCTTGGAATGTTATAATGAACTTACTCGAGCTTATGCGATTTCGATAGTTCAATAATTGATATGGTTCAACGACTGTTGCTTGAATTCCGGACAGAGATATCTGCGATATGCCTATGTGTAGTGAACTTTGCCGCTAAATAGCCCGTTCACTGACCACATGTGTCGGAATTGGCGCTACTTGACAATAGATTGCTCATACATTGACCGGCAACACCAGTATCTAGTTTAAGCAAGTGAATTGTGTCCTTCATTCAATGGCAATAAATAGTCTATATATGGCACTAAGTGGGTTTAATCAACAACTCTCCGCTTTAGTTTTCAGTCTCTTAAATCTCATAACTCGCTTCACTCGGTAATGTTAAATAAGTCTAATAGCTAAAGCTCCTCTACCAAACTTCCATCCAGCAATATAACCCGGCGTGGCCTCTCAAACTAACAAGGGGTTGCGAGAGGAGTCAAGTTTGATCAATTCTAGAAATATGTCATATGCAATCATTTTCACAGCTGTGATATATGATCAGAAGGGCAAGACTGAACACCTGTACGCGGTGTCCTCTACGAGCCTAGGAGTGAAATATTCTCCCAGAGCCAAGTTCAGTCAAATTTCGCAATACCGAACAAGTTGACCCATGAGGCATTGATTCAAAATACTCCCACGTCAATTTTTCACTCCCAAAGAGTCCGTTTTATACCTAAGTCTCATCAATTCTACAAGTACGACCAAGTATATCTTCATTCCAATGACCACACCTCTTTTCGACTTTCTCTGGCCTCAGCTGGTCACCAAATACACGTCCACGCCGATATTTATACCCTATGGAGGAAGCAAAGCGTGGCGCACAAATCTCGGAGACTATTCTTTGGGATTGGCGTGAGAGGGATCAGGACAAGTTGATAAGATGATGCAGAGGATGGATCCAGTCTCGACGGGTGTGAAATTTGGAATTTGATAATGAGTTTTGCGAATTAAGCTTTGGGCATGCGCCAAGACTTCACTTGGTAGAGTGCAGGCAATACCAGAAACACATCCATGGTTAGATGGTGCGGTGGCACATCGTCTTGGCCGGTCAGCCAAGTAAAGTATGGATAGCTTAGACACATATCCCACTTGAGACAGTAGATCGTTGGTTCAAATCCGGCAATCACAACTACATTTTTCGCGGGGTTGGTATATATGGATGACAAAGGCATGCTTGGATAATCAAAGGTTTTAAAATTCCCTTTTGTGGGTATATACGGAGGAGGGTCGACTGTTTTTGTAAGCAAACATACCCCATAGTAATATTTGCGAATAAAATACAGGGTATGAGTGTCTCTAACGTCAAAAGAGTCATCCTACATGTATACATAGCATCGGTAATATGTCATAGCTAGGTATCTGTACACACATTAAATGATTAAAAAAAACAATATGGTCAGAGTCTTGTAAACATGTTTGATGACTCTTTCGAAATCAGACACTGATACAGGGTTTAATTCGAAAATACAGCTATGAGGTATGCCTGCTTGTACCAACTGTCAATTCACCTCCGTGAGTACCCACCAAAGGAAAGTTTCAAAACCTTTGATTATCCAAGTATGCCTTCTTCATCCATGCATACCGGCAGAGCGAGAAATGCGATGTAATTCTGTTGTATTCGAGGCAGCCATCTCCTATCTCGAGTAGGATAGATATCCAAGCTATCCAGACTCTACTTTGGGGACTGTCCTAAAAATTTACCACTGCACCATTCACACATGACGGTGTTTACGGCGTCGCCTGCACACTCGCAATCGAAGTCGTGTAGACCACCGTGCTCTTAAATTTCTAAGGTTTCCAGGCAAAGTTCGGGTCATCATGCCTTTGAAGATTGCATCCGTTGTTTCAAAATCTTAGAGCGACGGCTACTGTAGATTTTCTTTGGGGCGAATTAACAATTATATTATATTAAGTGTATATATCGCAACTACCTCTATCCACTGACACTTCTCCCAAAGGAACTCCTCACCAGAGTAGTTTTCCATCTCAGCTCTGACCACCTTTCCTTCTATGACTAATTCATGACTAACCCAAAGCTCCTTCCTGATCAGTTTCAGGGTTAAGTTTACTCCAAGCAGATTAGGGCACTGTATGCGAGAGTATTCCTACAGCATCCATCTTGTCCACTTATCCTAGTCTTTCTCGCATCCATCTCCAAAATTGCCTCCAAGTGTGGTGCACTACAGTTTTGGTTCCCTAAAATTCGAATCCTAATGGCCGTGTGTTTGGTAGCAATCTGTTATGGCCTGAATACTCTGGCCTGAGGCAGATTTACCAAACGGGATATCCAGCTAGCCAATATTAGCTAGGGATAAATTACAAGGTCATTTCCAAAACCAGCTATCGCAAATAGCAATCCTGTTCTTAATGAAAGTATATTGCATAAATTAGTAATATAGGCTTTCGAGGATGATTAGAGTTTAGGATACAGGAAGAATCCACATATTACTTCCCGGATTAATTATCTGAGGAGATTAATAATTTAATTCAGATCCTCTCATGCAATGGATGGTTCAATGACGAGCCGGAAATTGTATTGATTGATTATACTGATTAAAAGAAGCGGAGGAATTGGCTAACGAAGATCTGCAGCTTCGCAATTTGTATTTTTGTCTTCTATTGATCATAATCACCTTTGGTACCTTGCTACCACAATTATCTCCTCTTAATCTATAAATACTTAACTATAAACCACCATTGTGAATCTTGATAATCACCCTACACACTTCGAAGATAGCTGTCCCTACTCCTTTTGAATCGCGCCGAAACACCATCGCAGGCCAAAGGATGAGTCGATGGGAGGTGTGGCCGTTGAAATGAAGGCGGACTAGGTCGTCCAAACAGATTTGGTGAGGCTCTGGCGGTCTACGATCTCGTGGGAACAAGATATTGGTGTGGTAGAGTATCTTGAATCATTGCCTCGTGGGCCAGCTTCTTTGGTATTGCGAAATTTACTAAACTTGGCTCTAGGGGAATACTTCACTCCCAAGTTCGTAGAGGACAGCACGGACAGGTGTTCAGTTTTTGCTCTCCTATCTAGGCCATATCTCTACGCTATCAAGTCCTTTAAAGTCTTAGTTCCAGAAAGAGCTTGATAAGTTCTCGACTTATCATATCTATTCGCTTTTGCAAGGAAAATTTATCGCTTAGCAAAGCTTCTCGATAATAAATAAAAAATTTACATATTTACTTGACCCAGTTGTCTTATAATTTGGATTAATTTCCGTGTAGAAGTAGTTTGCATCGGTGGCCAATTTTAGCATCTAACTTAGCTTCAAGGTATAATTTTGATGCTAATAAAGTTGAGTAAACAATGTTAGCTAGGGGGTCCAGCACGCCGGACTATCAGATAAACTCCCAGTTCAACAGACAATCCGATCGACATGTAAGAGGATAAAGCTGCCAGCAAACGGGAGAGAAACTCCGCATGCATTGACCAAGAGTAAAGATATCGCCGAATGGTCAAGAAGTTGCGGAAGGGAAAAGGACAAGGGGAGGCAGAAAGAAGCTGGAAAGATAGCGGCCTTTCAGGAGTGGAAAGATTCATGGATAAGCCAGATCAGGAAACAGCACCCTGGCCAACCAGCATCAGCCGATCCAGAACATTGGAAAGCGGCAAATATATTTACTGATAAACAAACAGGTAACGTCAAAATGAACTTCAAAGATACACCCTTAAGAATCCACCGTAACCTAACCAGGGCCCAAAGCAGTGTCGCCATTCAGCCAAGGAGCGAGCATATCGGACTCAATTCTTACCTGTGTGGAAGAAAAGTACCCGGAGTTGAAAAGCCAAGCTGTCAATGTGGATATCCGTCGCAAAACGTCAAGCATATGGTGTTGGCGTGTCCGCAGTGGGAAAATGGAAGAGGCGACTTTCTCTGACAAGCTAAAGACAGGTCATTTGAAGCAATGATGAACAGCCCAGAGGATGTGGCTAGAATCACACAGTGGATACTAAACAAAGGGCGGATAAAACAGTTTCGACTGGCAGGAGAAGTCGAGGTAGCAATGTCGGATAGAGTAAATAGATCTGGAAGGGGAGAGGACGGGATCTACACGGGCTGAACAGTGTACACTGCACTTCCTGAAGGTAAACCAAATATATTGATAGGAACATAAAAAAGACAGGATCAGGGGGTTTTCACCAAATTGGTTTCCTCCTTTGTAAATAATGCAGATAGTCACCTGAATGGACCCATAGGGTGCCTGATCGGGTTAATTGAAATCAAAATCAAAATGTTAGTTAGGGAACAATCGTCCCAAAAATCCAGAAAAGTCACGTAATATGACTTAAGGCTGTAATTAGTAGATTGCATATATTGATATATTTGTTTGAAACAAATACTACTAGTGATTAAAATCCGACTCTTTGCCTCAAAACTCGCTAAAATATCAGTATCAGTAGAATTATCATACAAAACTTATTCATATTCATCTTCCAAGTCAAGCTCTTGCTGCATCTGCTTCTCCCAAATTTTATTTGCTGAAGCTGAGATAATCTCGGCTTTGCTTCGGATTTTTTTCACGTACCTTTCTTCTTCAAACGCACTTGTTCTTGGCTTTCTAGGCTGTGCCATAAGTAGGATAGTCAATATCTCTTGAACATCGGCAGCGGCTAGTGCACCAACAGATTTAAACCCGTTGTCCCAAAAGATCCTTGCTGTTTTGCTTTTAACGAATTTTACTTCTGCCAATGCTAGCAAATCGCATTTAGCACCAGCTTTGAGACGATCACTAAAGTGATCCAACACTGCACGAAGAGCTCCCCACCCCATACGCTCACAAAATTTTATCATCCCAGCTGCAAAGCCATGACATGTCTGCGCAAGGGTTTGCACATTGCCGCGTGGAATATTATATTTCCGTGCCACAGAATGGATTGGTATTTCATTGCAGAGGTCTCGTAATTGAAGAGCAGTGTAGAAGCGCCTATAAATTCGTGCAGTCTCTATTTCTTGTGGCGTTGATTCCTTCATGACCCCACCCTGCGCCCTAGTTTGCATCAGCAGCGCAGATAACCTAACAGTATGTTACAAAACTTACATTTTGTTTATGAACACGGGCTTTAGGCCTACGAAATTAAGTACACGGAGATTACTTTCATCAAATTTCTCGATTTCTTTGCGGAAATTTTGCCAGTTAATATTCTGTTGAGAGGAATGAATAGGTGTAAATAGATAGAGCACGTGCATCTCTCCATCCATTACAAAGGCTTGGTTAGCTTTCTTTAGTTCGCAGTAAACAAAAATTCCATCTTCAGGAGTTAGAGAAGAAGCTACAACAGCTCCTCCTAGGAGAGTAGGTTTGTATTCGTCTTCATTTTCAGTTTTTTTGACCAAGCCATCACTTGAAAGCTCTTGCAAGCATGATTCAATCATGTCTGAGAGATCCGATGAACTCATTGTATGATATAAGAGGGTGTTTTTGATAAATTCATCGATAGCTCCCTTACTAGTGGCGAGTTTTATGCCTACTACCTCGAGTAAAGCCCTACTATCTAGTTAATAATCTTTTTTGCAATTTCGTGGTAGTTTTGAAGTGAACCTTTTGATACCTCGTTTGCTTGGTACGAGACAGCTCTCGATCTTGGGTATATCAGCTTCCATGAGCTCAGATACAGCTTCAATGTCACTCTTTTGACAGCATAGGTACGTTTCACCGACTTCGTCTTTCCCTTTACGGCCAGCTCTGCCTTTCATCTGACGCCTAAATTCTTAGTGATACGAATTTATAAATCTCCGAAATTGCGTACAGTAACGAAGGCCCGATAAGTTCAGCGCCCATACGAGCTCCGTGTAAGATAACCCTTCTTGCTGGTAAGTTGATACCCGCAGCTAAGCTACATGTGGCGACAAGAACCTTTAGTATACCCTGATCGTAAGCCGTGGCAATCAAGTCTCGCTCTTCCGAAGTTAGACCAGCATCTAAAGACATGAGAAATTTGACGGCTACTTTCAGAGGAAACACAAACGATGAAATGCCACACCTGTAGGAACAGTATTTTCCAGAGTATGATCTAGGCCCACAGCAGTTGTACGCAAGTTATTGAGTAAATCTAAGCGTTTCTCCATAATATCAGGGTTTGTATCATTCAACTGAGGTAGTACGGAGCTTATCAACAAAGCATTTTTTTCGCATCCGACACGACTGCTGCAAAATACCAATGCACCGTATCCTGCTCTAGCAGTTTCATTTGCTAGTGAGACAACAGAGTTTAACACAGGATTTTTGAGTTCTAGACATTTCGATTGGTTTATTATTCTACATGGAAGAGGACGAACCTGTGATAGAGAATTTTGGCGCTGAGACGCCGTAAGTTGAATTGCTGTCTTACAAAACATACTTGAAGTTCCTGCTGGATAAATATTATTGTCAAATACCAAGTGTTCCTCAATTGGTATGGGTTTATACTGGGAGATGTAAAATTTCGCCTGGAGCCATGCAGCAAGTAGTTCTGGGTTCTAAAGAAGATTAAATTATATTAATTATGGTAGATCGGAGCTCTAGCCTACATTTAATGTGGCACTCATGCCAATAAGTTGTACATCTTCATTTAGGCTTAGAATTTTGGTGGCCATTAACTCAAGTATATAGCCCCTATTTTCGTCATCAAGCATATGAAGCTCATCCATAACTATCACAGCTGGTAAATCAGTCGAGGTTTCTTCAATAGCTGCATTTATGAGAGAGTTTGCCTATTAACTCGTGAGACAATGACTGGGTATGAAAAATAGATATTACTTTTTCTATAGTGCACACAGCAATATCAAAGTCTGACCATATTGCCTTTGATTTGCTACCACCAAAAAACCCTACTATGTTGAATGATTCCTCGTCGCCACGTTTTTGCCATAAAGATGACCGCTTCTTATCCTCACAAGGGTGTGGTGGTTTCACCATGCCATTAACGACCTTTCTCAGCCACCTTATCTTCTCTTGCACAAGGGCCACACTTTAACTGGTCAGCATAATACCTGTAGAAAGCTGAAAACAGTCTTCTGGAACTTTTGCCAACATTTGTTGAAGATGTGCGATAGATATGGCTGCAAATGGATAGATTCCAAGGGTGTCATGACTGTGGGTATCCTTACTATGGCAAGACGAGAAGAGCCTTCTTTCCAGGATTTTCCACTATATTCTTAAGCATCAGAACATCTGCGACAAGAGATTTACCGCCACCAGTAGGCGCGCTGTAAACAAGATTTGTTTTTCCATCCAATGCACCGCTTTCCAGAAGACACTCTGACTGCCATGGATAAATTGAATTGATACCAAGTTTAGCTAGATTCTGAACGAGTTGAGTCGGAAGTCCATAGACTGCGTGTGCTAAATTTAATTTTGGATCTGTGTCCGGACCTGGAGTTAAAGCGAGATTATCTCGAAAGGAATGGCTTATTTGATGCTTGTCACTTGCGTTGATAATCTGACCGGCTATCAATGGTGTGGGTGTGCTACTACTTTTGTGAAGAAGTGGTCGTGAAAATTCATTACGGTTCGTGGCATCAGCGGCGATCTGGCTCTCTCCGGCTCGGAATTGATTGAATGGCCTTTTGATGGCAGTCTTTTGAACAGTTGTAGTATTAGATTTGACAATTTCTAGTGAAGACATATGAGACTTGCTCTTTCTTTTATTATTCATTGTGCCTTTGGAAGGTGGTCCAGCGAGAAATTAAAGGTAAAATCCACCATTAGCTCATGAATTAACAAATGAATGAATGAAAAAGGTTGAAATAATGCAAATTGGTTCTGACCACTTTTGGTAGAAGCTATGCAAATTGTTAGCAAGTTTTGAGCTTCATGTTGATTAAGGTCTGTTAATAAGAAATTAAAACGGCCTGGTTTGGGTTTCCTCTATGTTTGACTAGACGCTAGCTGCTACAAGGGGCAGGCTGGTTAAACTTGGTTAGTTTCCCAATGTCGCTACCCCTTGACTTGATGGCCTACTGGTCATACACCCAGAATCTCGGCTCGTGGAAATTGAGCTCAATTTATGAGGCTTTCGACGAGGCACATCAAACATACCGAGAGTCTCCCCGCGAAGTTTTAACATTTTTTTTTTTTTTTGCATCAGATTTTAATTGCGTATGCAGCTATCTAGCTATGACACAATATCAAAGAAAAGTACAGAAAAGATGACTCAATTTACAAGAGGAGCACTCATGCCTCGGATTTCATTTGCAAGTACCACTGCGAAGTTATGGTGGCTTTTTCTTCACCCCAAGTCAACCCTCATCCGTGAATACCCACCCAGGGGAACGTCTCAAAAACCCTGAGTTATCCAGACATGCCTCCGTCATCCATCAACTTTTCTCCGCGCGAAATGTAATCTGAGATGTCTCCTTCCCAAGTGGAGTAGGTGCCCAGGCTACTCAAACCATACCAGAGAACATCACCAGGAGGCGGACCACAGCACCTTCCATCGTTTGTTTGTTTTTATAGTGTCAGCTGCACTCTCGCAAGCGAAGTCTTGGCGCGCACAAAGCTCAATTCGTAAAACTCTTGCCAAAATTCAAAATTCCACGCCCGTCGAAAACGTATCCCTCTTCTGCATCATCTTGTGAACTTGTCCTGATCCCTCTCACGTTCATCCCAAAGAGCTATCTCCCAGATTTGTGCTCCACGCTTTGCTTCCTCCGTCGGGTATAAATATCGGCGTGAGCGTGTACTTGGTGGTCAACTGAGGCCAGAGAAAGTCGACGAGAGGTGTGGTCATTGAAACGAGGATGTACTAGGTCGTACTTGTAGACTTGATGAAGCTTAGTTGAGAATCGGACTCTTTGGGAGTGAAAGATTGACATGGTGGAGTAATTTGAATTTTTGCCTCGTGGGCCAACTTCTTTGATATTGCGAAATTTGACTGAACTTGGCTCTGGGAGAATATTTCACTCCCAGGTTCGTAGGGGACACCGCGTACAGGTGTTCAGTCTTGCCCTCCTAAGTTTTAACATTGGAGGGCAAAGACTGAACACCTATCTGTGGTACCCTCCACGAACCTGGGAGTGAAATATTCTCCCAGAGCCAATCTCAGTCAAATTTCGCAATACCAAAGGAGTTGCTCCGCAAGGCAATGATTCAAGATTCTCCACCAAACCAATATTTCACTCCCAACAAGATCTGTTACTACCCAAGCCTCTTCAAGTCCACAAGTACGACTTAGCTCATCCTCATTTTAATGAACACACCTCTCTTCATCCTAGCCTCTGGCACAAAGTAGCCTGCAACTATACGCCAACTGCTGAGATATTGTGGATAACCTATTGTCCCATGTGTTTAAACCAGTTGACACACGGCGAAGGAATTTTCTACATAGCCTTAGGAAGGGATGAATAGAGAAGAAGAAGTTATTGACGATATACTACTAGCAGTTACTTAGTGAATACGCCCACCAATACTGGTCAGTGTTATTTAAATATGGGAAACTCAGACCTGCAAAGTGGAAAAGACTTAAATCGCGATATCTAGTACTAGATGAGACGCCCTGTGGTAATCGAGAGCTATAGACGTGACGAGGAAAACATCCACTATGAATTCAGTGGTACTACGTTCTAATTAGGAGTGCCTTTGATGAGAGTAAAAGATATCTCTTCAAAAGTGTATCTTATCAAACATTCAAAATCTTTACTCGTGGCACATACAATTGTGCTGAAATACACCGACTACTATCCGCTCATCTCCAGTAATACGATCAGAAAGTTAATTTTTTCGATAATAATAATGTTGAGCGACATCAAGAAAGACGAAAGCATATTGAATGACGCCTGAAAGGAGCAAAAGATATTTTTATGTCTAAAAGATATTTGCCATCCTCAGACTGCAACCAAGCTCATTGATATCGATCTCGTCGGTGAACAATTGAATCTTATTAAAGCTACTGCCACAGAAGTAAATACCAAAATCTTCGATATTGTCGCAACACCAGTTTGGGATGTACATGAGTCAGGAGAGAGATACCCATATGTTGACAGTTAGTTAGTCACGTGTATTGGTGCAGCTTGGCGTGTTGGCCTTAAGGCCGACACGCCTGTGTATAAGAAATACAAAGAAGAACAATCGCATTATCGAGAGACCCATTGCGTACGTGTACACGTGTATATTACCAACCGACATATACCATAACAAACAGACAGGGCACGGTTGATATGGAGCTGTATCTTGATTTCTAGGAGGAATTTGCTGAATAAAATCAACGAGAATATGATAAGGCATCACCATTATTGAAGAAACGTCTTATAGTCTTTCTAGGAGAGCATGATTTTTATCCTGGACCTCCAAAAGGACACATCTTCTTGCAATTCATAGGACTCCTTGATATCTACAGACTCTGCGACTGGAACTATGAGGAGCTGAAGTTAATGACAGATATACACCACAAATATGTAGTACACTACTCTCGATATCAGACTCCATCGGCTCCAAACATGACTCCTTCATCAAATCAAGAACAGAAAGTTCCATTCATAGATACAACAGCCACTAAATTGCCACCAACAATCCAAGCAGGTCAGAAATCGATACAGAACCAATTTCGCACAGTACACCCGACCACATCAATTTCAGAGGGCTCCGACGCAGATAGGGATAATGCCAAATGACTTGATGAACCCACAAATACCGATCATAAACGAGATGGACCTGGATGATGTTACTAACGTCCCCGCCTACCAAACCGTACCACCATTTATATTCTTGAATCAGGAACCAGAGCTCAAAGGAGCAGCAGCCTTTAGTAAGATTTGGGACAAAATCCACAGTCACAGTTGTGATGTATACAATATATTTGATGATAAAATTCGGTATTTTATGAGCAAAGCCAAGATAGCACGAATTAGACCGTCACAAATATACCTTATTCTTCCCATGATATTCTCTAAGCGTGCGTAAAATTGCTTTGTCTACAACATGCCTTTATCTGATACATTTGCAGCTATTGACTCTAAGATCAAATCGAACTGATGTAGAAGTGAATTACCACCAGTACTTTAACGATCGGACTCTCATGACTTTTGGATCCCTGGTGGTAGATTCATTGTTGTGATCTAGGAATAGCTAAACTCCGATTGGAGGAGAAGAGTGTGCGAAAGATTAGCAAGGGTCATGGGTTATAATTAGGTGTCGTCTGTCGCACATGTAGCGAAGACACACATTCATCTTTTCATACACGATATTCGTCTACATCTACATTATAGAGAGTAGTAACATATAAGTATAAGAACATCATTTTGTCAGAAAGCAGCGCAGCGCTTTCCGCTACCCGTATCATCAATTTGACATCGTGATCATTATTTTTACATCATTATTACCCTCCTCTCATCTTTTCGCTTTCCGTGCTCCAACATGGCGGGTGTGGGTGCTGGTGTGGGTAAATCCAGCGGTTTCGACGCGTCGCAAAATGCGACAACGGCATCAACAAACAAGGCAGCGGAGCGCAGACAGCTCCAAAGGATAGAAACCTCGAAATCCTGGGGAATCTACTAAAACAGGTTAGACTAATCGTGATGGGAGAGATGGATGAGGAGGACCTACCCTCAATGGAGGACGTGAACGAGGCCGTGAAGGCCTTCAACGCGCACAAAAGGGCCTGGACGGAAATGTCCCAGAAGAAGTCTCCTATCGAGGAGAGGATGATGGCTTTAGAGGAAGTCGTAAAGAAAAGCCTCGCGGATCCCGCTTGGAAAGCTGCTCCAGCAGTGGGTTCGGGCGCGCCGACAGCTAGGAGTTACGCGTCGGTTGTAGCTCCCAAAATGACAAAAACAGCGGTAAGAATAAGAATTGACGGCGCTCAAAACTTGCAGCCACAATAGCTGCTTTTAAAGGCAAAAGAGCACATACAAGGTGCATACGCAATTCGTCAAATGCGGAGCAACGATACCGAGGTATTCGTCCAGTCGGTGTCCCAGAAATTAGATTAGATTTTTTATTATAGTCCTGTCTGAGTCTATGACTATGGAGGACTTCTAGGATCTACCTGAAAAAAACTAGGCGTCCCAGAGAGACGCGGCGCTAAATATACGACAACAAACGGAATTCAAGATTCTGCGGTAAGAATTTCCAGTCGAGGTTAACGGTGTCCCATTGCGGCCACGAATTGAAGGGGGCAGAGATGACAACAATTTTGCTATAATCAGGGAGATTGAGACAGCTACGAAGGCACGAATTCCAGGCATAGTCATAAGTCGTATAAGGTGGTTACACAACGGAAAGGAACACCAGCGGTCAAAGAAAAATGGCCGCACTCGTGGATCAATTGTGGTAAGCCTCCCATCGGTTGCAATGCAGACGGAAGTGGTCTGAAACGACCTAGTTATGAAGGCCATGCTCTACACCGCGCAGGTGTAGTCACCAGGGTCCCAGCCAAAGCAGTGTTACAACTGCAGTCAGTGGGGACACACGCAGGCGTCGTGTAGAAAGGCAGCTAGGTGCGGTGAGTGCGCTGGCGCTCACCAAACTCGGGACTGTCCGAGGAAAAGGGTTTCTTGTGCGAACTGCGGCAAGGAGCACCGTTCGTGGCAGAAAGCAGCGTGTCGGACCTACCAGGTCTACAAGGGAAGTGTGGAGAAGGCTCGGATGGAGCTGTTGTCAAGAACGGCGGAAATATGGAATGAAAAACCAACAATGGCGCCAATACGAGCAGTCGGAACG